GAAGCCGGTAGCGCTCGGGCAGCCCTTTTCGCGTGGCTGCGAGGGAGGAGGGGGAGTTAGGGTGGGTACTTTGGGGAAGGGGCTGGGAAGGGGCGGAGTTGGGGCGGGGCCAGGGACCCATGGAGTGTCCTCTTTTTTAAATTTTTTAAATATGGTAACCCTAGTGATGCATCTCTTTTATTGGACCAGCTTCTGATGAGGGAAGGGACAAGCTTCCAAGCTTCAGAGCTCTTCCCCTCAGTCTGGAGAAAGTAAGCAGAGTATCTGAGCTATATACATGCTCAGTCCCTCCAATCCAAGTAGCAAATTGGGGGAAGGGGGGCACACACTGCCTCTGGTTTTATGATTTAGGGAAACCCAGCCATTCAGTAGCTGAGGAAACAAAAGTGTAAGCCTTATTTTATATCTGGATTAAAAATGTTAATACATGAGCATAGCAAATCAATATGGTCAAACTGAATTTAGAAGGAAGAGACTTTTTTGGAGAAAATCAGAACGTAGAAACACTCACATGTTTTATAAAAAGCTGTGCTAAACGGTCATGTTCCTGGAGACATTTTTCCAGTTCAGCCAGGAAAAAACTGAAAGTAAAGAAGATAAGCGATTCAGAATAGTTTCCCCCTTCCAATCCCCACCACACCTCTCCCCCACCCCCCATAATCCAATCACAGCTAGAGAATTCCACAATAACTGAACAAGAGGGGGAAACTTGGCTTTTTCCTTTAGGTTCAACATGCACCTATCAAAACATTGTTGGGATGGTGGGGGCAGAAGGCAGAAACTTGAGGGAAAATCAGTTCTTGGATTTTAAAGTGTTCACTTTTACTCTGTTCTGTGGTTTCCATTAGAGATGGTTGAAAAATGCCAAGAGACATTCTGCAGACGTTTGGAGTTATTCCCTCCCCCCCCCCCCCCCCAAAAAAAAAACAATTTACCAGAAACTGCTTCTGAAAATTGAAATAATAAAAATGTTCAGTTGGATAAGACCCATGAAAAGTTTTGACCACATTGAAAACTTCTGTAGAAACCTTCATTTTGTCCAGGGGTGGTTCCAGTAACCAGTGCAGCAAGCACGTGCCTGGGGCGGCAAGCCCCGGGGGGCGGCCTGCCGGTCCCTGTGAGGGCGGTAGTCAGGCTGCCTTCGGTGGCATGCCTGCGGGAGGTCCGCTGGTCCCGTGGATTCGGCGGCAATTCGGCAGCGGGGACGCTGAAAGCGTGGCACCAGCAGATCTCCTGCAGGCATGCAGCCAAATCCGCGTGGCCCAGCGGACCGCCCACAGGCACGCTGCCGAAAGCCGCCTGACTGCCGTGCTTAGGGCAGCAAAAACCATAGAGCCGCCCCTGATTTTGTCTAAGGCTATTTTTAGTCACTAAACATTTGGACTACAAACTTTTGACCAGCTGTAGTTAGTTATCAGTGTGTAAGTATATGACAAACCAATATTTACATTGACCTGCACCTTTGGAGACCTCTAGCTTGAATCCCTGCTAAGGAATTTTATTTAGATGCCTAAAAATGAGCTTTGTTTAGGTGCTTTGTTTCTAGAGACCTTTATAGTTTTTAACAGCCTTCAAAAGAGGTAGAACCTCCTTTCCCAGCAGCTCTCTTAATGTTGAGCAATTTCCAGCTTGAATGCCTTCATGGATCTTAACTGCAGATGCCTGGCATGGGGAGAAGCATTGTCTGAAGTAAACAGGTCCTGGCAAGGTCCAGGGCCTGCAAAGGAAGATTCACTTCAGAGAGCCGTGCATGAAACTAAACATTTCAATGAGGTACCCGGTAAGTCTTGGAGGTTCAAGTTCCAACTAATAGTGTTTTTAAAAAGCAGAAGGGTCAGGAGTTTGATCATCAACCCTCCCTTTCACTGCCCTCAGCTAGAGGAGAATCATCACAACTAGAGATTGTGTAAGTGGTTAAACAGCAAAAGCAGCAGCACAAAGAGAAGGCCTAAAACAATGCGGTGCTGGCCTGTGACTGGGGTCCCTAGAGTCTATGGTAATAAAAATAATATTAATAGTAGCAACAGTAGAACTGGTGAGGAGCAAGGACACTGCACAAACTCAGCCAGATGGAGGTCTATAGCCGAAGAGACCTATAACCACTTATACTTTGATTTTACTTGAGTTTATACACACTTTCTCCAACTCTACAGAAAGAGTGCAGGTGTTAAAAGATGCAGATAGAGTTAATGCTATCTTGTGCCAGACTCACAGGTCAGGGATATGCATTTCAAGAATTCCATTACAAGAAGTCAATAGAACTATAGATAAGAAATCATTAACACAAATCTAAATCCATTTGCTTCTACATGGGAGTTTCATTAACAATACAGAAGATCTAGAGGAAATCTGACCTTATTTAGAAAGTCTGGAGAACACTTGAATAAATGTCTGAATTCAATATTCTAATCAGGCACCTTGCAATGGGTAATTAAAATAGTTGGTTGAAACTCAATTCAGTTAAGGCAAGCTCTGCAGCAGCAAGCTGTAGCTGCTGAAATGTTTATGAATGCCAGAGTTGAAATGCACTTCAGAGTCAATGAGACGATTGTTCTCGTAGGATTTAAAAAAAAAAAAAGTAGAAGGTGGCAATGGCTGTCACGTTCAAGGTTAAAAGCAAGATGTTGCTCACATTGTAAATAAAAACCTATTTCTGGGACTTGAAATAAGCAATCTTGGGCAGATTTCTGGGGGCTAGTGTCCAGCAACGTACCACCACCCTGAGGAATTTCAAAACTGTGTTTGACCCAACTTCTATGTTTGGCTAGAAAACATGGACTGATGCAGCTTTTCACCTACTGTTTTCCCTTTTCACATACGTGCACCATTCCTCCCACGTCCATGTCCAGTTTAGCCTGTTTCTACCATTCCAGTCTGAATCTTGTTTTATTGGGACACGTCGCATGGGCTGATTTTCAGAGGTACCGAGCACCCACAAATCCAAGTATCAAAAACTCTAAATTAAACCCAGTCAGATTGAGTGAAAATTGAACCCACTTATTTTATAGGCCTACCATCCAATGACATCAAATTGTCAACTTCAGGAATCTCAAGCATCAAGATTAAGACCGCATTTTAGAACCGAAATAAAAAGCTGTTTTCAGCAGGCACTAGCACTTTCAGAGGGTACCTCTGAAAATCATGCCATTTTTATTTGGAGCCCAAAGCTTGCAAGTTTGGACCTCAATGACTTGCACAAAGTCCATTCAAAGTAAATTTGGTAGTAGAGCCAGGTATAGAACCCAGGCACCCTGGTTTCCAATTCTCTCTCCTTTGCTGAAGTACACTTGTCAACGATACTTAAAAATCCAACTTACTCCTTGTGCCAGTCATAAATCTGGTGGATATTGCCAAATACAATCTTGTCTTTCCCTTTCATATCTTCAGTAACCCCTTTTTCTTCTATTCTCTTCATGAAGCCCTGTAGTATGAAAGAGCAGTGATTAACTAATAACCCAGCGGAAGAATAATAATTATATGTTTGTTTTTCAGGACAAGCACAAAGTTACATGCCATAACTGGTAGAATCCTCTCTCTTTAGAAGAAAGCCAGGTACTTAAAATACATATGCAGTTTAAAACCAGACACACCCCTTATATTTTAAATTACACACTTTGCTTAAAAGAAAAAAAAAAGCTAAAGGGATTTATTCTGCAACTTCTCAAAGGTTTGTACAAATCTATTGTACTGTCACTAAAGTGACAAGTACAATTAAAAGTTATAAAAGTTACATAAGTGGTGTGTCCAAAATTCTTGGGTTCCCTGATAAGTGCAAGAAGCCAACTTTGCACAGATAAGATTCTTTTCATTTAAAGAAAAAAAAAAAAGTGTACTTCTTGGGTGCACAAAACCATGTAGTAAATTTAGAGTCACAAATAGGATTTCTCACTCCTTCTGAGCATTCCATTTGAGTCTCTGTAGCATTACAAATGTCCGTTTACATTTGCCTCACACTTCACTATCTGAGTAAGAGAACTCTTGAGTTTTAAAAGCTTGGAAGCCTTTGAAAGCCACCACTAAATTGTTTGGAAGCATTCACTGAACTAATGAGTTTGCAAAAAGATTTCCCAAGAGGTCACTTGTTTTCAGTGCCTTTGTTTTTTGATCCTCACCTTGGAGCAACTAGTGTTGTGTGCGCTGAACACCTCTGGCATCAGTATCTAGGTATCGATAGGGCACTCAAAAATTGAAGCATCCAAAATTAATGGATGCTCTTGAAAGTGTGGGACAAAGAATAACTTTGATATAGTTCCTTTCATCCCAAAGTGTGTTACAAACAAAACTCAGCTGCTACATATGGGCCCTGAGACAAAGATTGGATCAAGATACCAATTTTTAGAGGTGTTCAAATCTGGAATTTTGGTTTGGGCACTTCTCTAAATAAAAAGTTAGTGCCATTATTAATCAGTTCCAATTTCAGGTAGGATCTCTGTCTAATAGCAACAGGAGAATACAAGAAGTGCAAGAAGAAAAATCTATTTATCTGGAAGACTATACTACAGCTGAAAGGATCTCATGTATCACAACCCAAGAGAAACAAATCAGCCAAGATAAGCCTTTGCACACTTCATTGTAGGTTTTAAAATTTAGTATTTGAAAACATTTCCTTTAGGCACTTTTTAGCACAGTATCCAGTTAGTAGGACATCCTTTTGCCGATTTGAGCAATTACAGCCAGAGTTTAAAGATATTAAATGGACTTTAACTCACCTCTACCACAATTCCCAAGTCTTTGACGTAGTCCTTCTCAGTCTGCACCAGCTCATTTAAGACAAACCTAGATTAAAAAATAGCTGCATCATTTCTCAATACGAGTTACTGCCTCCAGCATACACACACAGTTTCTAACCAACAAAGACTACAGCCTTATTCCAGATCACATGACCTAGATCTCCCTCAACTCAGCTTCATGCATAGGTTCTGGAACAATTTTTAGAGTGGGGGTGCTGAAAACCACTGAACCAAAACTGTAAACCTTGTATATGATGGAAACTACTTCAAACCAGGGGATGCTGCTGCACCCTCAGCACCCCTAGTTCCAGCACCTATGGCTTCATGGCTCAATAGTTATTGTCTTATGAAAACTTAACTCTGTCAGTTCAGAACATTCTTCATCTGTGCCAGAGGTGGCTGAAATCCTTTTCACCAGGGTTTGTTTTTTTTAAATCCTGGGGTAAAGACAATCAGTTGGTCTGATTACATAGAAAAAAACCCAGTTACTTATTCTAAACTGTCATTCGAGAGGAGGTTGCACACATGTATTCTACTTCGGTGACTAAAACAATACCCATAGGAGGGGGCTCCGAGTCTATTTAGATAGAGAAACCAGTATAGCTTTCCTAAAATTAGCATCAGAGCTTGAAGCAGTTGTAACTGCATAGTTCGGACTGAGTGAAGGGGTGCACAAAGGACCACATAGTCCTACAAATGTCCGGTATAGGGACATCCTTTAGAAAAGTCGCTGAAGTAGCTTGAGCTCTGTAGAGTGGGCCGACAGTCACTGTGGAGCACTGTTCACTACCCCTTCTGCACTTGTAATATAGGAAGTAGTAATCCACCTGGAGATTAGATGTACTGCGACAGCTTGACTTCTCATCCTGTCAGCATAAGAAATAAAAAGAACAAG